AAAAAAAACTGATTTTTTATCCTATATAAGTAGTTTACATGAAAAGTGAAAGGCATCAGCTCATCTTATCTTAGATATCTAATCTAAGTAAGAAAAATAGTAGCTGAGATGGCTATGTTGAGCTCGAAAAGCTCTGTTCTCCTTCTAATGGTGGTCTTCTCTATGATTTCAAGCTTGCCAAGAGATGCAGAATCTGCAAAAATTCCAGAAATATGGCCCAAATGGTATTGGTGTTTTCCAGATTGTGTTATCGGGCAGACCTGCTTCCACAGAATAACCCAGTATTGCAAGCATGAGATGCCTTTTGTTTCTTTACTTAATTGCATGGTCCTTGCTCTTGAATGGTGTGATCTCAATAATTTCTCTATTAATCAATTGGTTCCCCCTCCGCCTCCTCCCACCGCCAAGTCCTTCAACGGTAACTTCTCATTTTTTTTTATCCAAGTAAAATTTTATACATCCCATTATATTATTTCATGAAAAAAAAAAAGCTTTTTTGAAGCCTTATTTTAACATATCAAAGTAAGATTTTGATTAATCAAAGATTATGTTTTTCTCATATGATTACAGGTATAAATAAGAGGGAGCTTAACCAGAAAGCTACTTTGGAATGAAGAGAGACTTCAGAGAATTAGGCTTCATTTGGAATGATTCTTTTTACTAGTACTTCTTAAAACAGTTTATTAGTAAAAAAATTTAATTTTTTACTAAAAAATTGTTTTAAGAAGCAGTAAAAAAATTATTACAAACTAATAAATGTTGATATAAATCTTTAGCTTTTTTTTTTTTAAGTGTTTGGTTCTTCAAGAAAAGGCGTTTCATTCTCCAAATAAGGATTATTTGTAACGTCAAATCTTTTTTTCTTAATAGAAGACTTAGGTGCTGATGCGGCTGAATGGCATCACTATAAAATTAATAAAACCTTTGCATTTGCAGCGTCCTTGGAGCCTAAACCCTAAACCTTAAAATTTAAGAGCATCCTCTGTTTCGCATTGAACTGTTTGAGAAGTTTTTTGATAATAAATAAATCTTGAAACGCCATGTCTGAATTATTTGAAATGATGAGCTATGTTTTTAAATAAAATATGATGTGTGGTTAGAATTAAAATTATAAGGAAAATAATCATAAATTATTTTTATTTATATAATGAATGATATTCTCTCTATTTGTATTCTCTTTTCTGTTGTGCATGGCAATATGTACTCTACGGTAAGGCAAGTAAATGAAGAAAAGAAAGAGGTGAGGAACATTGTTGATGAGAGATTAGGAAAAAATTAAAGTTTATTTGGGACGATTTTATTATTTTTTTTTAAATATTAGTAAAAATATATATAAATTAAAAAAAATTTAACCAAAAAATTAATTTAAAAAATAGTAAGAAATTTTCCCAAACAAAACTTAAATTCTAGAGGAAAGCAAAACAACTTTCCGGCCATAATCGGTATGAAAAGATAACTTAAATTAAGCATTTGCATTAAACACTACGGCTGTTGCCAAATCTTTATGTACACATTTATTGCACTACAGAAAAAATATCCATTGCTGACTGTAATTTCAACGATTTTGACATATTTTTCGACTGTTTGGAAAAATTTTCCGGCGGTTTATGAATCATCGGAATAAATTGCGTAGGTAATGAAAACCAGAGGCCAATTTCTGACGGTAAAATTTTGAAACCACCAATATTTAACGAGTTTCCTATATTGTTATAAAAATAAAGAGAGAAAAACAGCAGTCCTATTCAAATCCCACTTTTCTACTTTATGATGAATGCATCTCTTTTTTATAAGAAAAATCTTCATGCGGCAAAAGTTGACTTAGTGGAGAAATTGCTGTAAGAAATGCTGAAGACTAATGAATGAATGGCTGGAGTTGACAACTCCATTAATCAGAGAAGAACTCTTCCAAATGGAGTTTCATTCTTGATAAAAAGATCAATATCCATGCCTGAGCTGATGGGTAAAACACATGGGTATCCATATTTTTACTCATTTCATTGCAGGCTATCAGTCCTATCTTTGATTTCAATAATTTTATATATTATGTTTTATGAATTTTATTTTGATTAGAATTTACAAAAGTTGTGATATACTATAATTTTAATCATTATACATATGTTGCTATGAATATATTGAATTTACATAGAATATTTTTATAATTGGGGTGTTACAGAACATTCCGACCTGGAGTTATAACCGGATTGATAGAGCTCTCAGCAGGCTCTTTTTGTTGAGCTCAATCAAAAGAATTGAGATCCGAGACAACAGTGCAGCCAGATTGATTAATATCATCAAATTCCAAAAAACTAATAACACTCTAGCCCTAATTTATTTTGTTATGTTATAATTCTCAATTTCCAAGACAATTGTCTTGCACATAATTTTTAATAAATTTTTGAAATAAGAAGCTATTTTTTTATAGCTTGAACTACTGAAATATAGGCTATCCGAAAACTATTAATCTAATTTTTCAAAATACATTATGTTTATAATAGCCATAACAATTTTTTAAAAAAATTGCTTCCCTTATTACAAATTCACAATCAATTTTAAATGTAGAAAGAAGCGTCTTAGAATAGCGCGGACATCAGGCAGTTTTTCCGTCCGGTTAAGCGCTCGGTGCCGAGTGGTATCGAGGGCGGGTACCGAGCTCGATATTGAGCGCGGTACATTTTTGGGGTGACGTAGAGCATTTTTATTGATCTCCGACGCCGTCCGGACTCCGCACAGAATAATAAATCCTTAATTATAATAAAATTTGGGTAAAGATATTTTGACAAAATAGGCCTTAGGATTAGCTTGATAGCCCTCAGATTGTATTGAGATTAGTTAGCATGAATTATATTAATCTCATCTCAGTTATTATTACAATTATCGTCATTTGTTAGGGTATTCTTAAGAATTTTTTTAATAAGATGATGAAAAAAAGGCCTATTTAACTTTAGCTTCTTTGAAAGCTCTCAATCTATTTTCGCACTTTAGAGTCCACATGGCGTCCAGACTCCAATAAAAAATGATCACATCATCAGTACATGTGTTAAATTTGTTCACAACATGCATATAAATTATACACAATATATGTATAGATTGGCGTGGTCTTTTTTAATTGAAATCCGAATGCAAGTTACATCTAAACTCTACACGTAATAATTTCTCCTCAAGAAAGCTCACAAACTCGTTACTAGCCTACTCCGGCGAGACATCGAACCGGTTGAATTCATGTACTGTGGAAACTCAAATTCAAATTTTCTTGTGGATATCGTACATTTTCTTTGCCAAAATGGTCTATGAATTTAAAGTTTGAAATGTAAACAGAGAAAATTTGTTCATTGAAGACTGGCAGTCCCATCAATTCATTGTTCTGCGTCCTGATTTTTCCACACGCAAATAGTCAAACTTCAAAGGCGTGGCTGAGGACGCCAGCCCGCGTAGGAAACTTCCTTTAGTTCCTTCCTTGCTTACGATTTGATAAATATTGTGGGAGAAATTATTATTATACACAACTCTTCTTGGCCTATTGGTTGAGAGCATTGGCTTCCAACTAAGAGGTTCAGGGTTCGAGTCTATGTGTATGAGTTGTGTGTGTGAGTTTGCCTTAAATGGCCTAAATGTCCCAAAAAAAAAATTATTATTATTATATAAGGTGTATATTTTTATCATATACATCTTAAATGTCCTAAATGTCCCAAAAAAAAATTACTTATTTTGATTGGAATCCGATCACAAAATTATTTCTCAAATTAATAACCCGTTTACAGCTTTTTATTAAATGATTGTAAAAATGCTACTAAAAAATATTTTAAAAAATTACTATGTAAAACAATATCTAGTACTAAAATTTATTGAAAGCAGTAAAAAAATAACGCCCAATTAAAAATTATAGTTGTCATATGAATATCAAAGATGTAAAAAAGCTGTCTCAATCGAAGTCTGGGGCTTTGCTTGTGACAGCTTTAGACCACCGCTTTTTTTTCTTACTTTCAAGATATTTCTATATAAAAAATAGCTTTACAAAACAATAAATAAGTCTTCTCAACCGGCGCCTGAGTGCCTTTCTAGCTTTGCTTTGTAAAATGCAATTATAATTTTATTTGATTATTATTTTATTATTTTATTAAATAAAATTTAATATATAAACGTTTGATATGTTGTTGCTGCATATTTTAAACAAAATATTTGTTTATCTTTTTGTTTCCAAAATTTTGCCCATTATTATTAAGTTACATACACTAATGTTTCATTTGGGACATCTTTTTCATTTTTTTTTAAATAATTTTTAATATAATAATTTTTTAACTCAAAATTTTTTGTATAAAAAAATATTTCAGAAAGCTGTCCCATCCTAGGCCTAAATCCTAATTGATTAAGTAGGTTAGCTTTTATAAAATCAGCAAAAAAAAATGTTGAAAACTTCTTAAATGATTTATTTCTTTCTTTCTTTTTTAAAGACTAGTTTGAATTTTGTCATTTAAAATTATTGTACACAAATATAAATAACAATGCAAAAAATATAATAAACTCATAAAATTGGGATTTTCATAACAATCTAAGAATAATTCTTCCACAATTCACATCCATTGCTAGAAATTGATGAAGTCGAGTGCCTTTGTCCTTCTGGAAATCATTGATCATTGATGCTGACACTGACTAGACAATTTCTGTTTTTTTCGAAACGGAATATCATCCCACTGGCACCTCCAGGAGGGCGTTTAGCGGTGTGACTAATTTTCGGCTAACCTAGAAGAGGCACCCACTCCAGAAACCTCCTGACCCGCACTTGATTGAGCCCCACTTAAAAGACTTTGCCGCTCAAAGGAATTTCAATACGGATTTAAAGGTTTCCAACCGCACTCGCCCACTAATCAAACTATCTCAGTTATTTTACCTAACATTCCATAACAAATTACTGCCCAGTTTATGAAAAGATTTAATTTGTCAATTATAGATTTAACTCATTAAAAATACTTTTTAACGTCGTTACATAAAACTTCCCCTTCTTCCAACACGCTAACGTAGACCACGACTGACTTTCACGGAGTCAATCCTTTTACCGTTTCCCCGTCCACCTTTGCTTCTTCTTATCGTACAATGTGCATATCGTCCGCGAACAGAGATTTAAGGCTCACGCGATAGAACAGATTCTAGGCTGAGAAAATCAGAACACTTCAGAAGCAAAGATGGAGCACTCAAGCCCATTCCTTTTCCTCCTCTTCCTCTTCCTCTTCCTCTTCATCTCTTCATCCGAATCCGTCACTTTCAACTGCTCGGGAACCACCACATGCCAAAGCCTCGCCGGCTACGTCGCCCCCAATTCCACGACGTACGGCGCCATCCTCTCCCTCTTCCAGGTCCCCACCCTCTCCCAACTCCTCGGCGCCAACAACCTCCCACTCTCCACACCCGCCTCCTTCCCCATCCCCGCCTCCTCCGTCGTCCGCGTCCCCCTCCCCTGCTCTTGCGCCGACGGCAAAGGCCGCTCCAACCACACCCCGGTTTACACCGTCAAGCCCACCGACGCCGGCCTCGATGACATAGCTCGGCTCACCTATGACTTGTTAATAACTTATGAGGAAATTGCTGAGGTAAATGGTATAGCCGCCCCGTACAAGATACACGCCGGGGAGAAGCTGTGGATACCGCTTCCGTGCAGCTGCGACGCCGTGGATGGGGAGGAAGTGGTGCATTTAGCGCACCTGGTGGAGCCTGGAAGCACGATAGATTTGATCGCGGAGCAGTTTGCAGCATCGCCGGAGACGCTGCTTCGGATTAATGGGATTGTTGATCCGCGGAAGCTGGAGGCGGGACAGGCTATAGATGTTCCTCTCAAAGGTTTGATTTTTTGTTCTATGACAGTGTTGGTTGAGCTGATTACTATCTCTGAAAGTTGAAACATAAATTTAATAATAATATGCTGAATTGACCCAAATATATTTTATTTAAATGGTTAATGCCAGTGCGAGCTTCCTTAATGAGTCCGCGTAAGAACCATTAGACTAGACCGATCCAATCAAATCTGGCCAGATCTACTACTCTAATGAATGATCTATTTGATTAGATCTAACCAAGACATCGCAATCAAATTTTGATGATCTAATTAGGAAAATACAGCTTCCAGAGTTTTGCACAGAGACTTACAGAGACCGGGATTGAACAAGTTTTTCTTTTGAGGGTGAATAAAGGTTGCTGCGGCGGCGTACAGGCAGCAGGCGTAGTGGCGGCGTCGTGCGCAAGCACGCTCCACAGGCCGCGTCGAGGCGGTGGCATCTTGCATGGAGTAGTGGTGTGGCGCAGTGGCGTCTTGGCACGGTGTTAACAAAAGGAAGAGGGGCGACTCAGCCGCTGTGTGCGTGGATTGGATTGTGACCGGAGGAAAATTGGGATCTTACTCATTGTCAGGGAAAAACATAAATTTAGAGGACAAAATTTCAAAATTCTAAAATTTGGTACCGAGCATCTAATCAAATGAGAGATTTTAGAACTTTTTAACATTTTTTAAAATATGATTTAGTTACCAAATGAAAAAATAGCCCCATATTAAAAACATACCTCATTTATTAGCTTAAATTTTTAAGCGAAATGCACTTAGTCCTTCTCCAACCGAATTCCAAACGCATGAATTTCGTTGCTCGCGGGCTCTAGCCAAATGACAAAACTTCTGCTATTTGGTTATGGGTGAACAGTGCAACATCAATATTTATGTGGCATTGCTCACCTACGCTTTTTTTCTGTCTCTACCGGATTTGCAAAAGAAACACGCGAAAGAGGAGAAAGACAGTTACGGCGCAAAATGAAGTTCGATTGGAGATGAATCACAGTATTTTTTAGTTTCACTATATTTTGGAGTGAAAAATGGGATTGTTGCTTGGAGATGCCCTAATCAAATGATAGATTTTACAACTTTTTATCATTTTTAAAAATATGATTTAGTTACCAAATGAAAAAATAGCCTCATATTAAAAATATAACTCGTTTATTAGCTTAAATTTTTAAGCGAAATGCACTTAGGTGGCCGGTGGACGCCAATATTGACCAAGTCTCATCAAATAAATATTCTGCCAATCAAGCAGGTAGCAAGTATTAGTGAACTGCAAATATCATCATTAGAACAGATAGCACCAACGTTCATAGGCTCACAGCCTAATTAGATCTCTAAATATCCAGAGGGCCATCCAAGTGTTGATTATGGCTTTGGTTTGGGACGGCTTTGTTACTGGTTCTTAAAACAATTTTTTAATGAAAAGCCATCACAAACGAAGCTTATATCTACACTAAACCAAGTAATTAATAATAATTACTACTCTTTGGCTCTGCACAGCTTGCTCTTCTGCAATAAGCAGCACATCATTGGACAGCAATCTTCGCCTCTCCAACGATAGCTACGCGCTCACAGCCAACGACTGCATCCAGTGCAGCTGCAGCTCTGCCTCTGGTTACCAGTGAGCTCTCTCTCCTTCCTCTCTGCTCTTCGAAATATATTCAAATTTTGAATTTTATTAAGTAACGTCATGGATGAATCATGAACAGGCTCGCGTGCCATTCTACTCGAGGCCTGAACAAGTTTTGCTCTTCGGTCAAATGCAACAACCAGCTTTCCCTGGGCGGCACCAGCAACTCCGGTTGCGAGCAAACTACCTGCGCCTACGCTGGCTACACCAATGCCACAGCTTCTCACAGCACCAACATCCTTACCAAAACCGTCAGCCGATCGCTCTGTAGCAGTAAGTCATATATTATGCGCTTGTTGCTTTTCAGGTTTCTTAATGGTCTTGAGGTGAATTCGGATGCGCCATGTCACCCAAATTTATCGGGGTCGGGGTGACATGGTGCATCCGGATTCGCCTTTGGATGAATCCAGACGCCTGGCATAATAATTTGCCCTCGCCAAGGCAACGTTTTGTGTTTTTTTTCGTTCTAGAATTTGTTTAGGGCAACTTTTTTACTACTTCTTACAGTAGATTTCTAGTAAAAAATTTTAACTAATTTGGGACGGCTTTTTTACTGCTTATTAAAGAAACATTAAGAAAGTCATCCCAAACGAAGCCTTAGTTTGACTAAAAATGAAAATGCATTTTTTATTAGTTTGGGGCAGCTTTTATTTTAGACTTTGTTTGGGGAGGCTTTCTTAATGCTTATTAAAGAAGCGTCAAGAAAGCTATCTCAAATGAAGTCATAGTGTGACTAAAAATGAAAATGCATTTTTAATGCTTAGTTTTTTTTTTTTTTGTAATAAAATTTTAAAACCAAATAAAAATATCACACCATGGCACTTTAAAATTTTTATAAAAATACACTAATTTGTTTTTAAAATGAAAACAAAAATTGTTGAAAAAAAACTGCTTGATAATATGAGTAGTATATCTATTTGAAAATTTTTAACGAAAAAAAAAATTTTTTTGGCACTATCAGACATAGCCTACGAAAAAAATAAAAAAAAATTAAAATTTAAATAACTAAAAAACAGTAAGAAAGTCATCCCAAACGAAACCTTAGTTTGACTAAAAATGAAAATGTATTTTTAATTAGTTTGGAGCGGCTTTCGTTTTAGGTTTTGTTTGGGGCAGCTTTCTGATTGCTTATTAAAGAAGCAGTAAGAAAGTCGTCCCAAATGAAGTCATAGTTTAACTAAAAATGAAAATACATTTTTAATGCTTAGGTTTTTTTTTTTTTTTAATAAAATTTTTAGTCAAACTATAATTTCGTTTGTGGTGGCTTTCTTACTACTTATTAAAGAAGCAGCAAGAAAACCGTCCCAAACGAAGTCATAGTTTGACTAAAAATGAAAATGCCTTTTTAATGCTTAGTTTTTTTTGGTAATAAAATTTTAAAACCAAATAAAAATATCACACCATTGCACTTTAAAATTTTTATAAAAATACACTAATTTGTTTTTAAAACGAAAACAAAAATTGTTGAAAAAAAAAACTGCTTGATAATATGAGTAGTATATCTATTTGAAAATTTTTAACGAAAAAAAAAAACAATTTTTGGAACTATCAGACAGCCTACGAAAAAAAATAAAAAATTTAAATTTTAAATAACTAAAACAGCACAGGTAGCGTTGATTGTAACGAATTTGGTTTGAAAAGCATTTTTCTACATTACAAGGGTTTGTTACCTTATTACTGCAAACCAAATGGAAATAAATTTGATTGCATTTGCTTCGTAAGAAATTTACACAGGAAACGATGATTAAGATATTATTCATTTAATTCTTTTTCTAATGAAATTTTATCAAAAAAACTGCAATATAAAATATTTTTCCTAAATTACTCGTTATATATTCGAAATGATCATCTACTGAACATTTATTTTTAAATTTCTCTGCTGAAGGTGCCCCTGCGCCGGCTCCATCGCCATCAGGTGGCGCTGGTTCAACGCCTAGTGGAGGTTCAACGCCTGGTGGAGGCTCGCCGCCGGCAAGCAACCATTCCAGTTTTCGGACAATATCGCATGGAAATTGGATGTGGCTGCTGATGACTTTTATCGTTGCTTTTATTGGTTCCAGTCATAGTGCATGACTTCTTTCTTTTATGGCAGAATGGAAATGTAAAACATCATAGCAGAGTTCATTTTGTTTACGTTTTGATTTGGATTGTAGGCACCATCTTATGCCGGTTTCATTTGCACCAGAGACTATTTCTACGTGTTTGTTCAAAGAGCGATTCATTACGGAATAAAGATGTATCAGGAAATTTTATTGTTATATCAATTTAATATAGCACAAATTTTGGCAAAATTCTATATTTGTATTTTCTTTTATATGTTTAAAGTTATTGTGTTATCTTTCAGCGGATGTTATAGCTACAATGATCGCAACAATAACAAACTCAAGTCTTTATTGTTGAAAGAGTAAGCCAGGAAGTGGCTTTCGTCCAAGAACAGGGAAGAAAGTAGGAAACAGGATAAAGAAGAAAGAAACTTTTCATTCATTTGACTGTTGGTTACAAGAGGTATTTATAGACAAATAAAGTAAAGAAAGTACAGGCTACAGCTTATATTACAAAAGGAATTAAACTAATGACTGCCATGTAACCGTGTAGCTAACATTTATCCCACTACGTGAGGTCGGCTACATGAATCCTTTTTCTCCATTGTGTCTTATTAAAAGTCAAATTCTCGTTTAAATCTAATAAAAAAAAGTCATTCCTAATATTTTCTAACCAAGTCTTTTTAGGTCTATCTCTACCTTTCTTAACATAAGTCAACTCTAATACCTCTACTCTCCTAACCGTGTCATCGAAAGGCCGTCATTTTATAAGACCAAACCATCTAAGGTGACTCTCTAATCTTATCTAACCGGGTCAAATTCTCGTTTAAATCTTATCTTCTACAATGATCACAAATAAAAATTAAAAAAAAAAAAACTTGAATCCAATAACCACCAAAGCAACGTTGGAATATCAGCACTTAAGCACAATAAAGACTACCTGGTTCTATACTACAGCTACCCACATGAAAACAAATACCGAATCTAAGTTTATCATATGAAGGGAAAAAAACTATCAGTTTATCAGATAATCACAACTCCCAAAAGTTTTATAGTACCACAATCTTTGGAGGTTGAGGTAAGGAGCAGATCTTTAAATAATGAAAAAAAAAGGTTCAAAAACAGGCAACCATTAGATTCAGAAATGTGAGAACAGTAAAATAATCTACATGGCTTCTTTCAAAAACAACTTAATAAAGCAATTCAATTTTCCGCATAAAGAAGTTTGACTAACTCCTGACTAGTGGAAATCAATAATTCATATAGAAATTCGACTATCTCCTGAGTGGAGGAGGGCCACCTCGACCAGGCGCAGCCCTACCAGCAGCTTGAGCCTGGATGAGAAAACAAATTATGAGAAAATTTCAATTCTTTGAAAAAGAAAAGCATAAATGACAATAATTTAAAGCTGAAAAAGAAAGGTCAACTAATTTTGTATTTCTCCAAATTCTATCATCGACATTTCTTAACACATTGTAACTCTGTGATAAAAGATAGCAGTACAAGAAAACATATCAATGAAAGAGAGAAGGTGAGAGCATCTCTCCCTTTACCAGCCTCCATCTTTGGTATGTTTCTTCATCTTCTATCATGTCTATGATCCAAAGAGCAAAAAAGTTGATTTTTTCTTTTCATATTGAAAAAATATTCAAGCATCCAGATCAATAGTAACTATGAGTCTATGACATGTGGTCATTACGAATTGATACTGATTGAACACTCTTTTCTGTAATGATGATTGACTTTTTTTTTTTACAACAACTCTAGCGTGAGATGGTAAATTAAAATTACTAAATTAGGTCAGACATTTAAGCATTAATTGCAATTAAATGTTTTATGCTTTAAAATCCACCAATTTGGCCTCACATTTTAAACTTTCGATCAGCACTTTATTTCTGTTGACTGTTTTCTGTTGAGATTTGCTTTTAAGCCATTGGGTTTTTTTTTTTTTTTATCTATTGACATGAAGAGTAAGCCCACCTTTTTTAGCATAATACAATATAGGTTTCTCATTAGATCTCATAAGCCAATAAAGGTCGATGGCTCTCTCATTCCATTCATGTTCCTTGCTACTAGGGCGTAGGCTTTAAGTAGGACAACAATAATAGGATAGGGAAAGAGAACCTAAAATGAGGGAAGAAAGGAATTATATAAATATCAACTATTAGATCATTACTTCCATGTTCCTTCATAAAGGTTGGAAATTCAGCAACTCTAGCGTGAGATGGTAAGGAATTGTGAAACACAATTAGCCCTACTGCAAGAGGTACAAGTCTAAGTTGCAAGAATATAAAAAGCTCTCGTGTTTATCAAACAGGTTGTTCAAATAATAGGAGTTCAACTTGGCTTGCAGCATAATAACAATATTTTGCTCTCTGATACACAACAATTGCATATGTTGTTGATATTTTGGACATATTTTGGACTTCGTAGGAAAAGTATTGTTATTCATGATCTGAAACGAAATTTATACAGTAGCACATATTATAACAGTAGAGAGTTATAGTGTAGTTACAGGCGAGGATTAAGGACAGGAAAAGGAGAAATAATATTCTATTCATTTAATTAAAATGTGAAGTGGGTATAATGCTGTCTTATATAGGACGATGTGACAGCAATAGAAAACTGAAGCACTGAATAAGCGGTTGTGATCATAGAGGTAATTTTGGCTAATTGGTGGTGATAGACAGTACAAAATGTGATGATACACAGCAGCATTTTGTATTTCCATTAATCTGCTTAGTGCTGTTGTCACCGTCACTCAAAGTGAGGAATCACTTAGAAGTTGGAAGGGATCATTGAATGGGACTGCATGAAAATATCATCCAGCTGACCTTGAGCGGCAATTTTGTGGACTGTTATTTGCGTTCTCTTGATGCAACCACAGATGAAATGAAAATCGATTTCTATGTATTTGATTCTTGTATGAAAAACTAAATTGTTGGTGAAGGTTATAACAGAGATGCTATCACAGTACCAGAGAGTGGTTAAGGCTGTCAAGATATTGAGTTAGTAGAGCAACCGGTAGAGCCATATGAGTTTGGTGGCCACCATGGAAAGTGCTCTGCACTCATCTTTAGTGGATGAGCATGCCACCATGGATTGTTTCTTTACAAACAATGAGATCATAGTGGAACTGAGAAGCGCAAAGCAGCCAAATGTAAACTTAGGATCGGGGAAGTCACCAGCTCAATTAGAGTAACCTTGAAAGTGTAGTGACCTGCCGCAAATGGGGAGGCTGTAGATGATGGTACCTTTGATGTATCACAAGACACGGTTGAGGAGTTGGAATTGGTGAGTGGGAGAGTGATGCATATACTGGTTGAGGTGGTTGACACCATTAGGGCAGATACATTCAGGTTATTGTCAGGTATTAAAGGGCTCCGATGATGCCTGTATAGTACAATTGGAATAGCTACTGTTGAGTCCTGTAGAGGATTGTGATATTAAGGTGGTGGGGTTTTTGCAAGTTTTACAGTCAATCAAGCTAACATGATTGTGGCAGATTGTTCAATGGTTTGGATTCCTAAGAAATATGAGAGATCTCCTAGGTGGCGCATGCCCGCATGCAATACCTTTGCTTAAAATTGGCAATTAGGGTTTGGATAGTATTGTGCTTGTTACCTGCAAGGAGGATGCCCTTGACGCATATAAGAATGCACATGATGATGTCATAGTGGTTGTAGAGTAAAAGGGAGGGAGGTATCAACTGTGCCAAAGATAGAAACCCAATGTGTTGAAGATGATCAGAGAATATGATGAACCATTACCGAGGAGTTTATTTAAGCTCATAAAGCGTTTTACAAATGAGGACAGGACGAAGATGGTGCAAGTTGATGAATCCCTATGGTTATACCGTGTAGATTATTTCATGAAGATCCCCCTGTAATAAGGCATTAGAAATGTCAAGTTGGCTAACTACCACCCATGATGAAGAACCACAGTAATAAGAATGAAGATGGTTGGCATTTTAGCAATGGAGCTAAACGTCTCAATATAGTCAACATCTGGCTCCTATTATAGCATTGTGTGATAAGTCAAACCTTGTGGTGCACAATGGCACTATCAGAGTTATATTTGGATTTGAACAGCCATTTGCTCTCGAGGATATTTTGATCAGGTTCATTCATTTTAAAGGGCTTGGAATTCAATAGGTATGGCCTGCCACCATTTATTATCTTTGCCTATAGTGGTGCATAGGTGGTTGGGGTCATCATGAGATTGAGTGGGGTGGAGCAGGTGAAGATGTGTGCCAATTTGAGATGCCCAATTTTGAATCAAGTTTGCATTGAGTGGGTAGAAATGTCGGGATGTCGTGGTTATTGAGGGGAGATGTGAAGGAACCAATAGGAGGAGCATGCTGTCAGAGTTTGTGAGGGTTCATACCAAGGCATGTTAGTGTTAGGATTTGGCAATATGAGGGTGTTGGTATTGAAGTTGATGATTTGGGTAGTGCCTCTTAGGCTGGAATAAAGTTCAGAAACTAAATGTGGGGGAGGATGGTGACTAGCAAATGGTATGGTTGAGATGAAAAGGAAATTGAAGTTCATCAAACATAAGGTGTCAAGAAATATATTTTTTTTTTCATTGATGAAATTGTGGCATTTGTTTCCTTTGCAAGAGAGAGATTATCCAAAAACATATGCAAGGAGCAGACTTAAGTCCAAGTTTTTTGGAGAGTGCGACTGGAGCCAGGTGTAGCATAAACATTATAAAATTTTGAGGTGCAAGTAATTGGGTTCTTTATTTTGAATTAACTTGTAGGGAGAAGTATTTTGAGTGTTAGATAGTAGGTGGCTAACTAAGCGATCAGGCCAAAAGCGGTGAGTTAGGTTAGCTTCATGTAAGAGAGTGTCATTGGCTTTTATAATATGTTAGTGTTTTCATTTTGCTATGCCATTTTGCACAAGGGTTAGGCATGTAGTTCGGTGGATGATGCCACATTTGATGGAAATGTTTTGGAAAATAGTATTGTAATTCACCTCCAATATCTGAGTGGAAGATCATGATTGATTTGTTGAATTGATTTTCAATTAGTAGCTTAAATTCAAGGAATTGAGTCATCCTTCAATTTTGAATAGCATTAAATAGTCCCAAGTCCCAACCGAAGCAAGAGAAATTATTTATAATGAAAATGTAATATTTCTAGTCTTAATTAGAAATAATTGGGAAAAGGTCCTCATACATCTAATTGAATCATTTATAGAATGTAGAACTAAGAGAGGTTGATAAAGTAAAGTGCATCTGATGGATTTCGCTACATAAAATGAGTTGCAACGAAAATATTTTACAGAGGCACATAGAGTAGGGGGGTCATTTTTGTTGGGATGAAGAAAATGGATGTTGGTGGATTGATGTGCCTATTGTGTCAACGAGTTGAAAAGGGTGTTTAAGTGAGGAGAGCTAATTTGATTGACTATGATTTGAGCTTGGGGGTAGCCGAACAATATATAATCCTTAATTGCATGGACCTATCACAAAAAGAAGTTTGGTCTTCGAGTCCTTGATAGTATAGCAAAAGGCATCAAAGGAGATGGAGTAGGAATAATCAATAGCCAGTTCATGAGTAGAGAGGAGGTTGTGTGAGAGATTAGGAACATGTAATGATGTGATAGAAGATGCTTACAAGTTGGAGTTGGAAAGATGCCTTGACCGGTATGGGAGATAGATATGGTTTGGTAATTGCGAGAGGGACTTGTTGATTGCCATGGTATGGTTGGTGTTGAAGAGCTGAGGTGGTCTGAGGTTAAATAAAAGGTGGCATTGATGTTGAACAACCATTCCTCGATGTTAGGTGATTTGCCAATGAACAGAGTGTGGGTATTGTGATTGACATTGTTGTTGTAGCAAAGGTTGGTGCGGTGTTAGCAATTATGGGCAAAGCAATCAATCTTGTCACAAATATAGCATTTGATAGGTGTAGAGGTTTGTTTCCCACCCCTGGCTATAATAACAATGTTTTGTCCTATTAGGTATGTTGGGGAACCTCGAGTATTTTAGTTGGTGTGTCATCCGCATCCATGGTTGCGAGTGGTGATGAGAGACTGTTAATCATTCAAGGGCTGAGTGAGTTGGCGATCTCAAGTAACCTCAGTGGTAAGATAGGTTTCTCCGTTGTAAAGCAACTACTGGGAAGTAATTTTGTGTGTATTATTGCCTTGAATGTTTAGTAACTTGGAAGGAGACCGTTTAGTGTATAAAGTATGCTATCATCATAATCAAGGTAAGCCTCAGCCGCTGCAATGACATCGACATGTCTTTTGATGGCCATGGATTGACCCTTCATTGATATATGGTGTTCATTCTTGAGTTACTTAATACCGAATTCAGTTGG